TAAATACTGTTTGTTGGTAACCAGGCGATTCGGCGTCACCTGACACGGCCACTTCACAGCAAATGTGATAACATGAAAATAGTTAACTGACAAGAGATGTCAAAATGTATTTTTATAGAAATATTATTATGAAACCAGGACAGTTTAACAAAAAACTTTCTATGATATTTGTGTTAAAAGTAAGTTTTATTCTCTTCATAAAAATCTATTCTGAGAATTTGATGCCAATTATTATATTATTGTACTTACTATAGTGTAAAGTATTCATGGATAACTAGTCTTTGAAACACTTGCTTCATATCGCGTGCTTCGAAAACCGTAATATGTAATTATATTTAATTTCGAGATCTGTGGAAATTTCAAATACATTATTTTCTTTTCAAGAACTATGCTCACCTTTATACTCTACACCAACGACTACATTGAAATGTAAAGATGTAACTGGAAACGCAATCGGTTGTAATGAAGCCACAGAGGGCACGTATTTAACCTACCAATGTATTCCCTATTACGAAGCTTTGGGGCGCAAACACAGCCTCTATTGCAGTGGAGGTACGTGGGACTTTCCAAAACCAGTATGCCAACCAGGTGAGTAATCATTATTTCCAGACCTCCAGACTCTCTGTAATAATCAGTTATAATAGGTGATCAAAATTATGAATAATGAACTGTTAAACACATGACATTCCGTTAGAACCATCTCTATGATGGCGAAATTTATAATTACCTAGGAACTTCATCAGTACATTATTGATCTACATTCTTCATTTTATCCATGTGATTTTGTTTCAAATTGGTTGGATTCTTATTTCAAAGAACATTTTTGATAATTGCATAAGGACACCGAAAACTATAAAGTAATTATTCAAATCACGTTGTTTTCCACCTGTCCCTAACCAGCATTAATAATAGTTACCAATGGAGTTAGTAATTGGGAAACTTGCATATGCTCTTGGCGATACAACTGCCGCAATATATTTTAAATTATTGGAACACACTTGCAGACCGGTTTCGGATTGTTTGGCCACTCGTCAGTGCAAGGTAGTGTCTATCATCAACATGAAGTCGATGATTTCCGATAATTGAAAAGAGATTTTCAATTATCCAATTATCCAATGCCCTTCGTAATATTGGTCAAGAGAGTAGTTGTTTTCAGATTGGTGTCAGTCCATTAACCTACAGTGTAGGAAGTTGAGACTGGCCTGAACGAATTGTTCCTTCGGATGATTTGATTTATAGCCAGTATTAAAGTATGCCCACTGACTATATGTGAAAAGGAAGAAACAATTTAATTTCATAATCAACTTTTTACAAAGATTTGTAGATCATGCAAAGAAATAACTTTCAAACGCAACTTGAACTTATATGAAAAAATTGAATTACAAGAAAGAAAAATACTTTAGAAACAACTTCTCATATATGAACATTGTGCCTGAAAGTTAACTTCTTGACAGGATCTACGTCTTTTTATGAAGAGTTCATTTTGACATTAATTGATACCTTTCTTTCGTTGGAAGATTCTTTTCCAACAACTAATCTCTCCTAAAATATACCCTTTCAATTTAAACAAGAACTATCCAAAGAAATACTGTTTCGAAAATGAATTTGAATATCTTTTTCAGTTTGTGGCAGAAAAGTTAGTAACGATGTGACAACGTTGGTATTCGGTGGTGAAGACACGAAAAAATACGAATATCCTTGGATAACTGCTGTTTACTTGAATCATGAAGGTAAAATGATAAATAATTGTGGAGGAACTCTATTGAATCCTAGGATAGTTCTAACTGGTGAGTGAATTGATCAACAATATCGACATTGAGTTCATACTTTCAGTGTCAGCTTTAGATCATAAGGCATCTTGAACATAAGATTTTTCCATTTACAAGCTGCTCTCTTCAATTTTCTCTTTTTTACCTTATTCTTATAAGCTTCCTACCAAATTCTTTTTCATTTTTTTCATGTATTTTCATTCTGTCGGTCGAAATTCTTTATTTTTCTAGTTCTGCTAGAAGGTTTATCATTTGTACTTTTCAACATTCAATAGATTTTTCAAATTTCCAACCATTTTCTCAAGTATAGCAATTATGGCAAATTTGTATTGAAATAATTTCAAGTCAGATGTAGAAACACTGAGGTGTTCACCTCGTTGAATGAAAAAGTTGAGCTCTGCTTCAAGAGAATGAGAATAATTAGATATGCTTGAAATTTTTGAGATACGAAACAAGTTTTTAGACGTCTTGGAATGTGTAGAAATCGAAAAATGTAGAATGAGGTCTATGACAAACGATAAGTCTCATACCAAACATCCCGACGATTTTTCTTTTACGTGGTAATTACAAGTAGCAAGTGTGCAAATATTAGGTTGCATAAAAATGGTCATTATTATGGCTATTAGCAACACAGAACACCAACACAAAAATTATCACTGAAAATTCATCTGATGACCGTCATCACCAAAAATAATGAATGTTTCAACTGAAGATGTTAGATTGGTTGAAGAAACACACGCTCTAGCAATACTCTAGCTCTGGTGTGTCACTAAATTCGAAATATCGTCTCTGTTCTCCAATCTTCACTTTTTCTTTTTTATATGTATGTGTTAGCATAAGCAATCATTTATTTTTTGTTCAGAAATTTCGCCTTATATACTGTGCTCTTTGAGATTTCACTATCAATTTTCAAATTCAAACCACTTGTATACATTTTCTCAGCTGCTCATTGTGTCACAAATTCTTATGGGGATACTGTATCAGCGGATACTGTGGAAGTAGGCGCAGGAAAATATTTCAACGAATATGGAGATACCAGAGATATACATGCCCAATATTCGAAGGTGAGACAATTATGTGTTAGTTACAATTGTAGTAAAGTCGTCATCAGTTCTATAAAGGTTTTCATATACCAACAGATGCTACACTCTTTCTTTTCCTTCTCTAGTAGTTATTTGTCAAATAATTTTTCATTGAAAATGATTGAAAAAGTATTACAGAATTAAATCTTGCAAAATATAATAGAAAAAGAGATATTATAGATGAATATCACAACCGAATCTCAAATATTCATATATAATAATGAAAATACCGTAAATACCAAATATTTGAGTTTGAGTACCTATGCCTTCATTCAAACTGAGAAGTATAGTTTGATGATAGAATTGGGTCCTCTGATGTGAAATGAATCTTTCAAAAACAATTTTCCCACTCCGAACTAAAATAATGTGAATTGAAGGGGTTATATTTTTAGGAGTGATTAATTTTGGGGAAAGAAAGTTTTTGGCTTTCTACTATTCCATCTTGATACAAAAATATGTGGGAATCTTCCAAAGAAATTTTCGTGTAATTCAATGTTTATATGAAAGTAGCTGTTTCAGGAGAGCTTTCTTCCAGTCTGAAAGTTGCTTCTTTGCATGATCTACACGTCCATGTATAGAGTTACTTTTTTTCAAATTGATTACTTCCTTCCTTTCTTTGGAAGATTCCCACCTATTTTTATATCAAGATGGAGTAGTAGAAAGCCAAAAACTTTCTGTTCCATAAAATAATGTGTTCTAACGTGCCGAGTTAACTTCAGTAGGAGATGAGTTTTAGTCATCTCCAGATGACCAACTTGGATTCAGAGTACTGTATTTTTGTCCTGGTGTGGAAAACGTAAACAGAGGAAGTGACACAAAATCAAATTTAGGTACATTGTGGTTGAATTCAGTCACCTCTTCCATTCAAATAATGAAAGAAAGGAAAAAAAAATGAAAATCTAAAGATATTTTGAAAAACATTACATGTTGAGGGATTCGAATGTGTGTAACTCATAGTTACAGGGAAGACTAACGACTCAACTTCCTTTACTTTATTCCAAACACTCAGAACTACAACTTCAAGTCCCAGAGCACATGCGATATGCCTATTCATGGTATGCCGGTAGATTATCTTGCAATAGGCAGCATGTATCACTGGTTGCCTAAAGATCAGTAGTAGAACAATTATAATTTCACACAATAGGTATTATACATATATTCATAATGTCAACTTAAAGAACATAACATAATGTACCTGTAGATGATAATAGGCCAACAATGATATTTCAAAAGGAACAAATTTCTATTTTGTTATTTCACTTTTATACACTATGATAACGGTATCCGCCTTTTTCGCCAATCCTTTGATAAATCAAACCCCACTGTTGTTTCTTCTCCAATCATAGGTCGAAAAACTTCAATCAAATGGACATAGATATTTCACCAATATAAATGTTTCTGCTTCATGGATAAGCAAAGAGAGAATATGACTTTTATTCATCGAGTTTCATTCACTGTGAAGCAGGTTTCAGTAGAGATGGGGTTATCAACTCTCATAATATCCACATATGGGCCGAAAAAAATCCCCATAGGATATTGTGAACCAAACACCAATGGAAGTTCAACGTGAATGTTTGGGCTGGTATCATAGGAAAACATCTTATGGGACCATTCGTTCTACATGACCGATTAAATGGCGAACGTTATTTGGAGTTCCTTCAGAACGATTTGAATGGACTTTTGGAACATGTTCCATTTCAAACCCGAAGCTATATGTGGTTCATGCATGATGACGCTCCACCTCATTTCAGTTTGATAGTGCGAGACCATCTGAACCATACTTTCCACAATAGACGGATTGGTAGAGATGGGCCATATGCACGAACACCGTGGTCCCCGGATTTAAATCCACTGGATTTCTTTCTGTGATGGCATCTAAAAAGCCTTGTTTACGCTACATCTATTAACACAAGAGATGCCTTGTTGAATAGAATAAAATTACATATTGAAGTCATATGAAACGACCGTGGAATGCTATTTCAAGTACAAAGAGGATGTCTTCGCACACTACGGAAATGTATTGAGAGAGAAGGGGGTCATATCGAGCAGTTTCTGTAGCGGATGTTTCATTTCTGTTTGCTCTTGAGGCTTGCGATTGATATTTTCACCATGAGTTTTGTTAAGTTAACGTGTTTGCATTATAAAAATTCGTTATGAATATTTCACCTATCATTTCAATTTTCATTCAAAATTAATCTTCTCGAACAATGGTAGACATCTCAGATTGGATGTCGTCGAACAAAAGTACATTTTTATCAAAAATCGTTGCTCCGATCGATTTTTCACACGAGTAATTTCATTCAGAAACTTTTCTAAGTAACCTGATTTTGTTGAAAAATATTAAAAAACATCTTTCATTTCAAAGTTCCTCACAAAGTGAGGAACGGACTACCTTCACAAAAACTGTTTCTTCTATGAAAGCTCATCAAAGTAATTCATTTGTTTAATCAATCACCAAATTTTGGATGATTTTGAATATTCACTTGAAAAGTCATAAAAAAACATTTTTCATTTCGTAACTTTGAGGGTCCGTAACTTATTACACCAGGAATTCAGGAACAAAAGTTATATGGCGTATTGGTGATATTCTGACCCCATTTATACATTTCCGAGAGGAAAAGATTATGTCCAGTGACACCCTGTATATAATAATGACCCTAGAAGAAGGCCATGTGGTATGTGGTATTCTACTTCCAAATATTTTGGGATTATTGAACTTTCAACATTAATTTTTTATCAGACAAGTACCGTTCTATTGATTCATGAGTCAGTCACTCATTGCTGAGACTTCGAAATACAACCTTCGGTCCTCGCAGTCAACGCACTTACCAGTGATGATTACTGCCGCAGTAACAGACGAAACGTTTGATACTTCAGGTTCCATTGGACCACGGCCTACCCACTCGGTCTCTCCAATCGTGACTCTGGCCGTGAAAGCATATGCTGTTATATAATTCATAACTTATTCCTCTGACTTCTGATTTTCCTTATTCCATCATTAATATATTGTGCTTTAGTAATGTCGTGAAATATAAAAATAGTTGGAAATTGTTTATCAAACCTATTATTTGGAAGGGGACAAATAGTATCGTGTATGTAAACACCCTTTTTGATACCAAACTGAATTTCAGACAAAGTCTCTATAGTATACTTTATTTTTTCAGGCAGCACGTATAATAGTACACGAAGAATACAAAGGAGATACCCGTCGATTCCAGTTTGACATTGCACTTATTGTAACGAAAAGGTTGTTTACTTTGGGCCCCGTGGTGCAACCTGCATGTTACAGCAACATTGATACCATATATCCTCATGTTGGAAGCGTAGGAGAGGTTAGTAATAGTAATAATTAGTCTATTGGATGATAAAAATAAATAAAGATGATTCTGTATAATTTGAGCGAATTCAGGATGTATTCAACAATAAACAATTAAAGTTTCACATACCATAATTTATGCAACATTTAGGTCTTCTGAAAGAAATAGTCTTATATTGGAGAAATCAATATAGATATGCCATGTCATGTCAATGATGAAATCTTCAGAAAAACATGTCACGCTCAACATTATTATCCGGACAAATTTGAAATTCATTCTAGAAAAGAAATGGTGATAGATCGATTATTCATATACCTAATAAATATCTGTTTTAAATATCTATTAACAAACTCAATGTTCACTGCTCATATTAATTACTTGCGTTTTCTTGTTCAATATTTCATTATTTTGTTAGTTAAGTTAGTTTAGTTAATTCAGGTAATCCCTTTTCATAAACATCCAACGTTTTTTGGGATAATGAAAATAATTTATAAAAGAAGATTTGTAGTTGAAGTACTATAACCCATACTATAGACCGTGCAATTCCCAAGATTCACTGTTCAATGACATCAGTTTCCTCTACTCTATTTTTAATCTAATGCCCAATTCATACAAAACTGAATTTTTTTCAACAAACTCAGTATATCTTTAGAATTCCAAATTCTAATTATTTCTAAGAATTTCAAGTCTGTATTTTTAAAAAACGAGAGCAATGTTGAGTTTAGTTGAAAAACAGTTCCAGCTGACCCTCACTTCGCCCATTCATCATAATAGACTGGGTCACAATATATTTTTTTGGAACTTCTGTCCAAGGGCACCGAAAATTATGATCCAGGGCTCATTCGATTCGGAATGACCTCTAGTAACTTTTTGAATAATT